TTCCCTCACTAGAAACTTCATGTATTAGCCAACAGGAGAAATCTAGGGGCCCCATCTAGCGTATTATTTTATATAAGTTTACTTGTAGGCGAAACGCCAGAAATGTTTTTTGCAGGGCACCGCATTTTAGTACTGTGTCTGGTTTTATTAGTGTTCCGAAAATTCAGAGTACTTCGAAAGGTAAATGGAGCAGCCTGTTAGGCTAGTGCTTCAAGCGAATCTTCATGGTATATACACTACTGCACAACTGTATGTACTTCTACTTGCATTCACACGTAGTTGTAACTAAGATAGTACTTTGAACGTTTTGGTTTACTATTCTAGGAAGCTGGGGATATAATTGAAACTATATATCATGACTTTGCCAATTCCAATCAAAGGAAATATCTCATACAAGAATTTTATGGTGCAGAATATTCCATATTTAAGGTATGTAGAACTACACACGCCGCAATGACAATGGCAAGAATTGCCGTAGAGCGTAGCGGCTCTGTACGGCACTTTTCGCAGCGTTTCAATATTTATTACTGTTACACGTAAACTGCAAAACACTTACGAACGCAACAACAAAAGGAAAATAATTTTAAAAATTTTGACAGACTATTATAATACCAACTCCCTATAAATTTACAATACACTACGGCAATGTCCACAGCAATCCACCTTATCCACGACATTTTCTTCTTGAACTTGGGCAATTGCACGAGTGCCGGTTATTTCTGAACAATTATATACTGTTGGTCTGCAATGCAATATAGTCATGTAACATGTAATACCTGTCATTCTTTCATTTATTATTATTATCCTCCACCCATTCGTTGTCTAATTCTTCATCCCCCTATTACATATATTTTATTTGCATGTTCATGATGGTCATTGTCCTCTAGATTGATGATGCTCGTTCACTTGAGGAAATTATTGCAAGTGATCCACACAAGAAACCATACATCCTGAGGAACCTCAAAGAAACACTTGTATCTTTAATACAAAAGTATGTTGAAATTCTGAAATCTTTTACCCTATATATTGCTTGGTATACATGTAATGTAATGACCAATAAACCCTTTTGTCGCCCAAGGTTTTCCCTTAGCATTTACAGTGGATTATATTGAAACTATCAACGCATGCCCAGATTCTGCATCAAGCTAGAATCTTAACTATACGAAAAAACAAGGCTACAGTAATTTCGTTTGTTACATTGTACAATCAATTTAATTGTGAATTTTAAATCTGAAAATCTTGTATTTCTTTACAGGTCTCTTGTATCACATACAATTGTACACAAGGCGTTATTGGATTTCTTCACTAATGCTGACGAAAAGATGCGAACGGTATGTTTTCTAATTTCACTAAGCATTGTTGATGAATTACTGCAGAGCTTGGAAAATCATGCACTGTCAGTTCTCCAAATGCGGCTATGTTACTCGCTGTGAAGAATTTCATAACCATGAAAATTTGATCAGGCATCGGCGCTGGGCAATGTGGATTTTCTCTGTGGGAATGCTAGAGACATTAGAGGGATATGCATCCCTGCCTATTTTCCTATAGTCAGTATTTACCTGCTTTCGTTGGCATTGTTTTGTTGTCTTGCCATAATGGTTGGTTATTGAAAATGTTTTTTCTTTTTCCAGGAGATGATCGAGGCCGTACGTGAACAGTTGGTTTTGATTCTTCACACGAGTGAAGGTGCAAGAGTGACGATGTCATGTTTGTGGCATGGAACTCCAAAAGTAAGAATATCTACTTTATATAATGCGAGGTTAAGATCTGGAAGAAAGTATACAATACAATGATATATTAAAACGTGTTACACGCTGCGAAGGACACCACAATGCGCTGGCTGGACACCAGAATAGATGCAAACATCCACTATGACTTTAAGCTGGGGTCAAAATCGAAACAAATATGGCCTGACAAACTATTTTCTTTTTGGCAGGTCAAATAAATTATGGTATCCAATTTACAATATATTTTGAACTGCCAAAATAGTTCCACTCTGCTAGATGTCAGAAATTAATTTTCTTCATGCACTTCAATCATTTATGCATGTATTTCCCTACTCTAAACTGTCCTTTTTAACATTAAACGCAGAAAATTTAAGATACTGGTATGTCTGACATTTCTCAAATATGGCCTGCTTTTGGCCAGCCCGCTACTTCGAGCACATTAAGTGATAATTTAGTAACCCCTGCAGCTACAGCATTTATGATGAGGCATATTTAGGATGAGGTTACAGGACATTTAGTTACAAACTTAAATTTACATTTATTCTGACTATTAATTTCAGGACCGTAAAGTAATTGTAAAGAGTTTCAAGAGTTATGTGATAAAGATTTGCAAAGTAAGGGATGACCTTATATATGTGAAAATTGCAGTATTTGGTATTACATACAGTGGATACTGTATACTGTACTGTATATAATTATCTGGAATTTTGTTTTGAGGAGAAATCATCCCAATCTGTTACAGTATGTTACGGTTGAACAGCTTATACAATAGACTTTTTAGATGCTCATTTGTTAACTTCACCTCTCGATTATTTTGGGTGTTTCGGCGAGTTCTCACATTGTGACCTAAATAAAACTTTGTTATGTAGGAAGAATATGGTCATCTTACGTTACTTGCCTTATTCGACAGTGTTGATGATACTGTTCTTGTTCAAAAAGTTATAATCGCGGTAAGTTAATAAACAAAAATGATTTCTAACTTTCCATTCAACTGTCCGTCACTGCAGTCTGATATTTTGAAATAATAATATATGTACCACACTTGTATATTTGTACACTATTGTTGTCCACACCAATCACGATTTAGGGGTAGACAATAGAACGTGAGATTTTCAAGCAACGAGGCAACACAATAGAATATAAAAGAATACAAGATAATAAAAAAACTCTGAGAAGAGTAAAGCCCCCTCCTAGTAAAATTGTGACAAATATACTCAGAGACGGATCTAGCCAGATCTGGTATAGGAGGGGTGCTCGTCGAGATTCGGTCATGGTCCACGGTGAGACCGTTGACCAAGTGCGTTACGTAATCACTAGTTAGTAGTCACAGGCGGTAGTCTGTAGTCTTGTTTGACATTTTCGCAGTCATGTTACTATCTCATTTTGTCTCTATTCCAAACCGAAAAAATGGAGTTGGTAAGGAAATTGGCATCCCACCTTTCACAAAGCTAGGAGAGTTGCGCACCCCCTGCTCCCCAGGACTGTAAATCCATGAATGTTTATCTTACTCCTTAAGCTGAATGTTTATCTTACTCTTTAAGCTGAATGTTTATCTTACTCCTTAAGCTGAATGTTTATCTTACTCTTTAAGCTGAATGTTTATCTTACTCCTTAAGCTGAATGTTTAGCTCACTCTTGGCTAAGTACAAAGTAATAAGATACGACTTGTACATGTGTATATGTCATTGTAGGAAATGTTACCACGTTTAAGTGAGATTGCTGAGAATCATCATGGTAGAAAAGTTCTACTTTATCTCCTCGCTCCACGTTTACCTTCGTATTTTGCTCCAAAGATCATCCAACAATTAACACAGGGTGATGGAAATCAACACAGGTACGAAAATTTCATCGTCTGAGTCACTTGGTTCTTTTATTAGAGATTAAAGAGCACGAATACGACTTAGTGATCTGTGGCAACTAATGTTATCAATATTTCTTCGTAATTTGTGTTTGATTGTGTCTGTGTGTGTAAACAACATTATTTTTTTCCAGCTCAACCTCAATTACTGCTTTCGTGATTCGATGTTACCGAAAAATTTGTCAAATCCTTACAATACAGCCTGTAAAGGCCGTTTTTTAAACAAAACTTTTCCCGTTACCATGGACATGGAAACGGATTTACTGTAAGAAAATATCATTTTATACGATGTCACTTAGAAAAATTTTACGATATTGGGAACTAAATTGCATTTTAACATTCTGTAAAAAGAATATTAACAAAGAATGTTTTCTCTACCACAAGAACACAAGTTTAAATTTTGACCCATTTGGTCAAAAATTGGGGTAGATAGTCCCCCATAATTAGGGTATTTAGTTCCCTAGAGGTTGCAGCGTTATGCATGAAATATAATTATAGTGTATACAAGGCTAATTTAATAAATAAACACTTTCGTCTAGAATGTTATACATGTTGAAACGTCAGTTTGCATTTCAATGTTTTACCTGCACGTTCCGGTTCCGCCCTATAAACTCTTTGATTACTGTAATAATTTAAATTGTTAAAAGTACACACCAATTTTATACATGATTTTTGTTTGAATTTACAGCAAAAAAGAGAGTTCTGTGCGGAGAAATGAACTGCTGTCAGCAGTTTCACCATCGTTGATCAAGTTTGCAGCAGAAAATGTCAAGACGTTACTCTTTGATAAAGCTCTAAGTCAACTTTTTGTCGCCATAGTTCATAATGTTGAAGGTAACAGTAAGTCATTTGTACAATTATAGTATAAACTCCTCATTTGAAAGGCACCACATTGGTGATTAATACTGTTTAGTATTTTTGCACAAGTGAACATAACAAATCCTACAAGATGATTGGTCAAATTTGACGTATTAATCTGTTATATTCACCTACAGGTGAATATAACAAAATCGAAATGTTCAAAATGGCGGCTAGCCGTTTTGTTGAAGTTAGTGATAAAGAAATAAGCGAAATTAAAATGAATTCAGACCAGAAAAACACAAAAAAACTTGTGCAAAAATACTACAACAATTATTCGCCTCAGGCTCGGTGATTATCGGGGAATATTCACCTCGACTTCGTCTCGGCGAATATTCCACGATAATAGAGACCTTACGATTTTAGGACGGCAACCGCGACGGCGACGGCCAAAACAAACTCCTTCAAATAAATGGTAGTCGATAGCTCGTCGTATATTATCAATCGTATGAATTTAATACAGTCTTAGAAGTTGAAGACGTGGGTTTTATGGTTGGGAAGAGTTCTGCTAAACCCAGTTTGAAGTTGCACATGCTGCGTCTTGAAATGCAGCCGTTGTATCAACACGTGAAAATATGTGATTTGGCGTTGTAAACAGAGCGAAGACAATGTCTAAATTATTCATTTATTGTAATTACTCATTTCTTTTCAATGATCTATTGTATTCGTAGCCGTTGCCGTCGCGTTGCCGTCCTAAAATCGTAAGGTCTCTAATCACCTCGCCTTCGGCGAATAATTGTTAATTAGTACATTCCTTGGAAGGCCTAATGGCATTTTATGCAAAGTTCGTTCAAGCGTTACCATGCAGACCTTTTTCAAACGTTATAATGTTGGACAGTGGTCTTCTCTGTGAGGAAATCTAAATATTGAACAGTGGTCTTCTCTGTGAGGAAATCTAAATATTGGACAGTGGCCTTCTCTGTGAGGAAATCTAAATATTGGACAGTGGTCTTCTCTGTGAGGAAATCTAAATATTGAACAGTGGTCTTCTTTGTGAGGAAATCTAAATATTGAACAGTGGTCTTCTCTGTGAGGAAATCTAAATATTGAACAGTGCCCTTCTCTGTGAGGAAATCTAAATATTGGACAGTGGTCTTCTCTGTGAGGAAATCTAAATATTGAACAGTGGTCTTCTCTGTGAGGAAATCTAAATATTGGACAGTGGTCTTCTCTGTGAGGAAATCTAAATATTGAATAGTGGTCTTCTCTGTGAGGAAATCTAAATATTGGACAGTGGTCTTCTCTGTGAGGAAATCTAAATATTGGACAGCGGTCTTCTCTGTGAGGAAATCTAAATATTGGACAGTGGTCTTCTCTGTGAGGAAATCTAAATATTGAACAGTGGTCTTCTCTGTGAGGAAATCTAAATATTGGACAGTGGTCTTCTCTGTGAGGAAATCTAAATATTGGACAGCGGTCTTCTCTGTGAGGAAATCTAAATATTGGACAGTGGTCTTCTCTGTGATGAAATCTAAATATTGGACAGTGGTCTTCTCTGTGATGAAATCTAAATATTGGACAGTGGTCTTCTCTGTGAGGAAATCTAAATATTGAACAGTGGTCTTCTCTGTGAGGAAATCTAAATATTGAACAGTGGTCTTCTCTGTGAGGAAATCTAAATATTGAACAGTGGCCTTCTCTGTGAGGAAATCTAAATATTGGACCGTGGTCTTCTCTGTGAGGAAATCTAAATATTGAACAGTGGTCTTCTCTGTGAGGAAATCTAAATATTGAACAGTGGTCTTCTCTGTGAGGAAATCTAAATATTGAACAGTGGTCTTCTCTGTGAGGAAATCTAAATATTGGACAGTGGTCTTCTCTGTGAGGAAATCTAAATATTGGACAGTGGTCTTCTCTGAGGAAATCTAAATATTGGATAGTGGTCTTCTCGGTGAGGAAAACAAATTTCCACCGTCTTAATGGCCATATTTTTATATTTCTTATCATAAAAACCCTGGATGTTGGTATTCATTGCATGGCCTAAAAAAAAAACAATGAAAACTTTTTGACCTTTCTGAGTCGAAACGTCTGTACTGATTAGTTCTATGCGTCTTACCTTAATTGGCAAGACATGAAGTTCTGGTTATATTTTGTAGGTGGTGTGGAACCTGCTATGCAAAGTGTTGCAAAGTTGGCAAGTAAAGAATTAGATGTCATCAACAACGAAGAGGAGGTAAGAATATAAATCACGTGAGAGAAAATAAGGATAAATAATCTGTGTAAATACTTAAAAATGCTATATTTGTACTGTATTATATATACACTAAATAATGATTTCTTTGATAAGTGCCAACTCAGGAAGCGCCTATATCCTCTTTGATCAGGTTGGCATGATTTTTCCTGCTTACCCTCAATGAGCTCAATATTATTTCCTTTGGTGAGCAAACAAATTGTTTGCATGGTTACTGCTGGTGCATCGAAACGGGACCTATAATTATGTTAACTTATTTGTTGGTTTGGTGGAAAAATTCTTTGACCCCATACGCCGATTACGTTGATCATTTTAAAATATCATGTTCCCATCTCAATTTGGAGCGTTATGGGATCACAATCATTTACCCAAACTGTATGTTGGCTTGTTTTGTTTAGGACCATGTATTCAAAAGTGCAAGTGGTCATTTTGCGATCAAACAGCTAATCCAATTGGATAAAAAGCGCAGTGAGAAAGGCAAGTTAAAACAAAGTTTAATATATTGTACGACAATGTACATGTACCAATAATCCATGGTAAAAGTGGAAGTCAAATATTAGGCAACTTCCTATCTACAGTAAATGGAAATATGTATGTAATAAAACCATGTTACATTTCAGGTTCAGATGTTCTTTTCTCTCCATTACTGATGGCCAGGATAGACCCAGAAACCTTACTTAACATGTGTCAGATCAACAGGGGAGCTTTCGTGGTCGTAAGGTCAGTTTGACCTCTGTTAAAATATTCTGTTCATTGGCTGTGTCCATCTTGATTTTGGGAAACAGTCACAGTGTTTAGACATTATTTTTTTAACTACTTTCGTAGCTAAATAGTGTTTAAAGGCGCAGTTCAGCCTTTTGAACGATGGTTTTTAAGGCGCATTTGAGCCCTTTTAATTGAAAAAACTAACTAGGAAAATCAATTAAGCATAATTCAAAATCAGTAAACTCGATGTTTTTAACAATATAAATGTTTTTAAATGTTAAAAACATTAAGATTGCTGATCTTGAATTATGCTTAATTGATTTTCCTAGTTAGTTTTTTCAATTAAAAGGGCTGAAATGCGCCTTAAAAACCATCGTTCAACAGGCTGAACTGTGCCTTTAACCCCGAAATATACGATTCTGCTTGGTTGACTCTTCCACTAACTATAGTTAACTTTAACAGGCCCCTGGCAAAAAAATTCGCTCTCCGACTCTATTCAAGTATACGTATACAAGGGTTCGTTCTCTACTCATGTCAAGTATGACTTTTTCCATAATTTTAATTCTTAATATTTTTTCTAGTCTCTTGGAGTGCTCGGTATCAGAAGTATATGAAGAAGTGGAACAATCCCTGAAACCTTACCTTAAAAAACTGAAGACGATTGAAAACAAAGGGGTCGCAATTGTAATCAAGTTACTGAACAAGTAAAGAATCTATAACAATTGTAACTGACCCAACCAAACTACCAAAGCACAGTGGCTGTCTAGAAATCATATGTCTTGAAAGAGGTTTACACTTTGTCGATGAAAGCATACAGATACTGTAATTTGGTCAAGGAACGTTCGTAGTGTAAACCAGCTAGTCTTTTTCCAGAATGATATATGTGCACAATAATTGTATTATACGGACACCAAAGTATTCCATCATATGAACATTCAAAGTGAAGACATCTTCAGACGTTTAATTTTAAATTATGTTTCCAATCATTAGAGAGTTTAAGATCTACGACGCGGCAACTTAACGACGCGCCTTCGAAACAAAGAAATTCTTCATGCAAGACAAAAACTATGAATAACTTGTGGTCCCAGGGGTATCCTCAACAGCATTGTCATTCTGAATACAAGGTTAAGCTAAGCATTATCACGTCTTCCAGCAACGTGAAAGCGTATTCCGACGTTAGATGTGTTACATAAAGTCAGCCTTATAGCAAACACCACATCGTTTCTCCTGAATTTAGCTGTTTGTAACGTTATAAATAACGTTATAAATTAAAAAGCTTCAAGCATTTATTACAGTAATCAAAGTAGCGCTCATTCTTGAGCTGAAATTGAGACGCGTCGTCGAGTTTGCCTCGTCGTAAATCTTAAACTCTTTGTCTTTGACCGTGCTCCATCCATTGTTTGCCCATACATTGAGCCCACTGAACTATTATAATTACTTTTAGGACGAAGTTATACGAACAGCAAAATCGCAAAATCACAGGCATCATCTGTGGATTTTTTACTTAACGAGATTGGTTGAATATATTTACTTTTATATAATACCTTATTGAATTCTGATCGTTTAATTGGCTGTTTATGATCACGTGATATTGAATAGAAAATTCCATTTCCCAAGAGTGCAATGGAATACGTTCCATTGCACTCTTGCGAGTGCAATTGTACTATACGTTTTATTCCATTGCACTCTTTGTGTTTTCGATAAATCGCATCCGTCAAAATGCTTCTCGTACGGTGATCGCTGTTTATTTTAAACCCGATATTCGAAACTCAATAAATGGGAATGGGATTTAATGCAAATACGACTCGTCAAAATGGCGGGAGCTTACAGTAAACCTTTTAATATTTGTCTATTTTGGTATTATGTAAAACAAATAATGAATGTTTTTATTCGTGCAATGGTAAGAATATTTTCATTCGGTGAAAGATGGAATGTTCCATTCAACTCGGCTGTCGCCTCGTTGAATGGAACATTCCATCTTTCACCTCATGAAAATATTCTTACCATTGCACTCATAAACATTCATTATTTGTATATCAGTGCATGCATCCTTCAACCAACCTCGTAAATATTGTTCATCGCTATACTTACATTGGTACCCCCACACTCAAGATGTTTCTACTTGACATTCATTGAAACTTGAAGTCAGTTTGTTTTATACTGTAAGCTTTAGCGAATATAACTTCACCTGAAATGGCGCTATTACTATGAACATGGTGGACAGTAAAAATGGACGACACTCGTAGCTCAATACCACAAAGCAACAAGTAATTTTTAAGTGGACACAAGGTTCATTATATTACATTGCATACCCCTCTATTCACAGTATTGGATTGTAATATATATAATCGATTTGATTCACATGACTTATTGTATCTTGTGTATAATTGTTGCTGTTTATAAATCTATTTCATTTCATAGTTTGGCACATCAAGTACTATAAATTATTAAATTTATATATGAACTGGGAGCTTCCCCCAAGATCGCTGATTTGAAATCGCATTTTTCTGCCAGCTGCTGTGTTCTACTGTACTATTAATTCCAGTGTACTACATTCATTCTCTATTGTAACACTTTCTTCAAAAACTCTTTCACTTCTGGATATATAACATCAGACTCTGTGCCAGGAAATGTATGTAGGATCTCTTGCTCACTACAACATACAGAGAGAACATGAGTTGATTCCAATTTACTCAGGGTGGCATTTGAGCTGTGGCATTTGAGTGAGAAACCAGAAAATTGCATATACTGTACTGGTAACACCCATCAGATGCATGAGACGAGGTGCATGCAGTCACTGAGATAACTTTACACATCATACATCAGTTACATCACCTATTATAGCATCAACTAACTGAAGCCAGTTTTCCATTTCAATCGTGTTGTACCAGTTTTGCTTCCAGAACATTTTGAAGCAATACGCCACGATTGAAATAGAGAAAGGAGGACGTTTTTGCAAGGACGTTAAATCATGGGGGCATTGCATAACGCTTCAGCAGGCTAGGTCAAGCCAAGTGATAGCCTGCGTAACTGCCAGTTTTAAGACGGGGTTGGAAGTTGAGACGCAATGAAGGAGGCTGCACGAGTGATAGGGAGGTTCTCATCAGCCCCTTAATAACTGGAACAATTCCCCAAGGACGAATTAAAAGATTAATTTAAATTTTTTTTTACCTATTTTCCACACACGTACCTATAAAATTTAAGTACTGGAGCCATTTGAGACTGGAAGATATTCAACCTTGCATCAACAGTCTCAGGCTAAAAATTAACAAAACCGCATTATAGGGCCCAGTGCTTTTCAGAAGCAAACTATGGTACTGCAGCATGCAACAGCAGATGGTGGTCGACCTGGTGAGGAAAAATGTTAATTCTTTGCGTTGTAGTCTTGTATTTGAAATAAATATGATGATTTATGGAGTTTAATTTGGGAAATATCAGGATTTTGGGGATCTCACTCGATATAACTAATTGTAGAAGGGTTTTGTCACAGAATACTACACAGAAGTCCATCTCCATTGTTTTTAGCGTAAGCTCTATTCGTAATTATTCGTCACTCAGCAAATACCATAAACAGAAGCAGTCCCCCCTGGAAATACTAAAAATGGCGCACGTCCAGGGGGTGACTGCTTCTGTTTACGGTACTTGCTGAGTGACGAATCATGACGAATAACGCTTACGCAAAAAACAATGGAGATGGACTTCTGTGTAGTGTCTGTAGTATTCTGTGGTTTTGTAGATGGAAATTTGGAGTGTAAATTTTATACACTTATTAGGCGCAACAAGGAGCAGTTGCGAAAAATACAACTATAGGCCCTCTGGTTCCCTGTGGCAGGAATCGAACCTACGATTCCGGTGCAGCGCTCTAACCAACTGAGGCCAGTTGTCGAGAACTAACCGCAAGTTCATGTATATATACAAAGGTGACGCCAATGTAACAAGGTGTATGGGTAAATATCAGGACATCCAAAAGTTTGCTCCTGTAAGCTCTAATAAATATATAAAATTTACACTCGCAATTTCTATCTACAAAACCCTTCGGAGATTAATTTGGTTGTTCGTGATTTAGTGTCAACATTTTTGAGGATGATCACCATTTGCTGCCTTGTAATGCTTGTATAAACCCACCAATACACGTGAAATTGTCTTAAGTTTGTTCATAAGATTGAACTGCATTAATACATTACCAGACTACAGTCAATGTAAGATCCATATAAAATATAAGCCTTAATGAAGTGAAATATATAAACTGTACTGCGTATGGAAAACAAACCTTGTCATCATCTCTCTGTATAAGTGGTTCTCCAGTGACATCATCAACGCCCTGGGAAAACAATTCAAATTAAGGGGAGCAAACAAAAAAACATTTAAAAAAACATTTACAGTAAACAGGTTACATACATGCAGTCGGCCGACCCTTATGGTCATTAACTATACACTATAATTGTCTATACAGAGTGTATAAAAAAACACTGAACAGATTTGAAATTACTCTCTATTTCGCAAAACAGCTATTAGGGAAAGTACATTTATTATGCCGAGGGG